ATATTGAAAGGGAATAAATTTACAAATTCATTTGTTGACGTGAAACCTTTTTCGGCGCATTGAATCGATACCCGTATGTTTTTTGGCGCAGACTTGGAAATGGAATTTAAAAAAACAATTTGGCAAAAATGTGCAAGGGCAATAGAAATTTCTTTTTATTGATGCGAGTCAGTTTCACGTTGTGTTTTAAGGAAAACGTGAGGATTGGCATAAATTGTGAAAATGGTTCTTCTGTCCGGGGTCGTTTCATCGGTTTTTGTGAGTTGCGTCGCGTGACTGCACAAAGATTGGAATGGGACGATCCTGGCGGTGATTGCCACGTGGCGCAGCCTAGTATAAAGGCGGAGAAGACGTTAAATACCAGTAATTATATTGAATGCTTTGTATAAATTTTTTGGCTGTGTAATCGTCGATTCAGACAATAACGCTACAAATTATTTAGCAAAAAAAAATTAAATTCGTGATTTTTTGCCGATTCAAATGTAATGTTGGACCTTTTTTACTTTGTCAATCCTGACCCGTTTAAAATATTGCAACTTTGTTTTAAAAAAAAAAGATTTTTATGTTACGCTAATTAATGATTCTCTTGGATTTGTTGAATAATTTCAGAATACTTCAATAATTACAGACATGTATGATGAAAGATTTGGATTAGAGATATTTCTAAACAAAGTGCAAGCAATAATTTTTCGACAGTTGGCAACAAAAAATAAATCATGCTCTTCACATACACAAGCGTCCGTATTTATTCTACTGCTTTCCATGTTTGTTACCTGTAAAATAAAATCACCCCACATTCTCCTTATAATAGAAAATTGTAGGATTGTACCTACAATAAACCTCGACTCCCTTCCACATCCCTGTCTTACGCTACAATCATTCTGCTATCGACATAATGGAATATAACCTAAAAGCAACCTTTAATACGTCATGCCAGTGGAACTGATTGTCGATTTATATCCACCTGATTCTAAACGAACACTTCGCTTTTTAATAGTCTAGAGGGAGATAATTTTATGTGTTCGTTGCTTAGAACTCGATTCGTATCCACCTGATTCTAAACGAACACTTCACTTTTTAATAGTCTAAAGGGAGATAATTTTATGTGTTCGTTGCCTAGAACTCGATTCAGGTCCCAATGTGTTTTTAATGTCGAAGTTTGTAAATGAAACGCACTGTTGAGTGACCCAGGGCCATTTTATCTGCCTCGTCGTGCCAGCAACGGTACCTACTGGTGTGTGCAGTCAGTTTACGTGTTGATGGTGATATAATAGAGAAAGTTTGGAAACAAACACCAACTCTCCCTCCCTCATGTCAGATCAAGCATCATACAAACTTCCACTCCAAAGTTTGCGAGGGAAAAGTTCTCTTGCCGTAAGTGTGATGGTAAAAAAGAAGTTTCAGGGCCATTCATGACTTCTTTTGTTAGACGTGCACAACAGAAAAAAGTGTACACTTTCAAGCTGAAGTTTTGGTAACGTCAATTTTTCTTACATATTTACGACTGATTCATATTTGAAAGCTATCAACCAAATGGTTGATTTATGGTGCCAATCAGCTATTGGTTCCACAGTAATATGCTACGTTTATTTCATCCCAGAAAATAAATTAATGCACTGAGAAACGGAAAACCTTTGATTTCCCATTAAAAAAAATAGTTTGTCTTTTTCTATGCAATTTGTAAAATACAAAATTATGAACCATATAGATTTAAAAAGACTTCCAATTTTTCTAAGAAAGGAAGCATTTAGGTATTTGTAATGATGGTGGATTCCATTAATAGACTCTTTCACGAGTGTAATATGTTATTCGTCACTTGTTAAATATGATTTTGGTCGGGTATAGAAAGATGAGATAGGTCCTCTCGTCATTGATGTCCTTGCCAAAGAAACACATTAACGTAACAAGTGTTTACCAAATGACAAAGTGGTTAGGACTTTGTAATTTTAGATAACATTTTGAGTGTGTAAATATGTTCGGCAGTCCAGTTCTAGAGACAACATACAACACCGCAAAACAACAAATTTCCCTTTGAAGTAACTCGTGTCCTACTGTAAAAGACAGGCCTACATTTAATTTCCCAAAGTTGCCACTATTCAGTGCGCGCCATCTACTTCCTGTCCGGTCTTTGAAGGGAAGATGTTGAGTGTAATTATAAATTCTGAGAATGATGGTTTTGATTAAGTGTAATATCGTGTACGAACTTATAGTGTAGCGAATTTATTAATTAAAAGTGTTATTTAAGTTTCAAAAAGTAACAGTTAGTGTGTTGGCTTCAAAATGTTGAAGTGTTGCTTATGAAACTTTTTACGTTAACTAACCTACAATTAAGTCAAGATAATTTTCGTTAATGGAACATGAAGTTAACATGACTTTGTGTAAAGCTATTCTTCGGGAGAACTGCTATCTACAGACTTGGTAAGTTACAATACAACTTTATTTCCAGAGTTGTTTATTATTTATGTTCAATTTGATGATGTTATTGATATTTCTGTCATAGAAGGGCACAGGATGATAGACGATTCCTGGTGTCAGCTTTCAGCATATTCTGTTGTTCTAAACACTCTGTGAGTGCAGTAATTCAGGAAATTGTCATATTTAAACAACAACGGGAGAATTTAAAAAAAATACCCAACAGTTACCGATTAAAACACGGTAGGCTTTCCTAGTTTAACAGATCGTACAAGTAATTTCGTATGACTGGTTTCAAATCGATACTTATTGGTACCCAAATAATATGTACAAACTTATATAAATTATAAAATGAGCGTAATGTGTCAGAGAGTTTTTATGTAATGTTGGTGACATTAATTCTGATTAGAAATGTTCTCCATGTTACCCCAAATTGTTATGTCTTTGATCCATTGGCTACGTGTGATATAAAAGTTACTGAATTAGGTCTGAGGTTTATGTTGGTGCCAGGACCTGTTACATTAAACAACATAATGTATAAAGGTGGGGGGGGGGTGTTTGTCACCTGCTCCCTCTTATATCAAAATTGAGGACTTGTTTTATACGTCTTTTACATGGATTGTATAAAATGGACACATGATGGGAAGTTGTGTCGAACTGTCTTATTTTATTTTCCAAAATTACTGATCAGATTTGAAGTACGATTGGCGTTGGGAGTCATAGTTCGAAAAAAAATTTAATTTGGTTTTGAATCGGTCATAAAAAAAACCTGTATTACTTGTACCTTAAATAGAATTTTTATAACTGTTCAACTCACGAAAAATTTGTAGCCTAGATTAAAATTACAATATGCGGTTTTCTACATCCTCCGTTCTGGAACATCCTTGATCTGTGGAGATGATAACCACAAAACATAATAGTCACGAGTCTTCAAATTCCAACTCGGTCATGCAGGCAAGAGAGAGACAGTCTCATACGAAACGCTTTCAACTTGAAAGATTTCATTAAACCTTTCCTTTGCAGCTGTTAGCCCCAACGGCACATTACGAAGATGCGGGCGTCATAACATTCACACCTCGTTCTTGCTGTGAGCCCAGTCGTATCGTTCATACAGTTACCACATCAGTTAAAACAGACCCGTTTGTTTGTAAGGACTGCTCTTAGAAACGTAACATCCAGGATGAGCTGTTCTAACACCATCTGCAACGAGTGTTATTTTAGCTTACTCGTGGGGCTTTCAAGACTTGGTAATAGGGGTATTTGAGATAAAACAGAGAGAATGTAAGAAGATTCTGTGGACCACAAAGCTGTAGTCTTCGAGTTGATACCACGATAAAGGTAGTAGTTCCAGGACAATGCACACACCCTGCTTTATCCCATTCGTTCTAACACCTTGCTTGTTCTTAGGTGCTGTTGCTGTAATATTTGAGTTTCGGACTTGAAGTTGTTACAGTTCACGTGAGCTCAGATGACAAACTGGATTCGTAAAAATGTACTTCTACTGTCAGGGGAAACCAGATCCATCCATTATAGGCATGTTCAGTACACAGTCCTTGAACCAAGTCATCCTTTGCCCATAAAAGTGGTTCGTTTCGCGAACCATCGCTGGCTCCTTTATATCCTTTCTTTCATTACTTATCATCTTTCTTCATTCCTTAGTTCGTGTTTTTTCATCGTAAATTCGTTCTGCTTTTCATTTTTGATTCTTATATTTGTTCTGTCTTTCGTATATTTGTTACTTGTCTCTGCCCATAATTCAATTAAATTCAATTATATCAAATCTAAAACTTCTTGACGATGGTGAAGAGTCAATTGAATAAATTTTTTGGATATTATCCATCGTCTAGTAAATATAAATATCTCCGGAGATAGGAATTAGCTCTATCTAGTGGGCCCAACTGTGTAGGAACCTGAAGACGGACATAGAGTCCCATCTCCGAAACGTCGTTTTACGTTTTATATTTGCTAGACGATGGATAATATCCAAGAGGTCCGGAGATAGGGATTAGCTCTATCTAGTGGGCCCAACTGTGTAGGAACCTGAAGACGGAGATAGAGTCCCATCTCCGAAACGTCGTTTTTACGTTTTATATTTACTAGACGATGGATAATATCCAAGAGGTCCGGAGATAGGGATTAGCTCTATCTAGTGGGCCCAACTGTGTAGGAACCTGAAGACGGAAATAGAGTCCCATCTCCGAAACGTCGTTCAACGTTTTATATTGACTAGACGATGGATAATATCCAAGAAAAATTTTATTCAATT